CCTTGGACACAGCAAACATACTCCAGGGAATCTATCTCACAGACACAGGAAATCAGAAATAGGAAACTAGTCACCAAAACTGGAAACAAAGAGAATGTTCATTAACAGGAAAAAGGCGATGAAACTCACGATACCTTGGATTGTCCATCTTTTGAAGAAAATGATTTAGAACCATACTAGTTCCCTTGGAGGAACTGCTGTCAGAAACTTATACAGGAATATATAGAGCTGAGAGAATATATTATCTATCTGAAACCTGCTTTATTTTTATTTATAGGCTTTATCACTACTTATATTAATATATACATGGGTGTGGATATATAAAAATAACTTATGTCAATACATACATATATGTATAAACACACACAAACAATGATGCAGGGGGAAAAGTTCTATCTACAGACCTGCATGCTCTGTGATAAAGTATTAAGTGTGCTGAGAACATGGTTTCTGAGCCAGCCTGCCTGATTCAATTCGCAGTTTTTCACTTACTAGCTGTGTTACTGCCAAGTTACTTAACATTTTTGTGCCTCAATTACATCATCTATCAGACAGAGATAATAGTACATATTTCACAAACTGCCGCAAGGATTAAATGTGTTAAAAGAGGGCCTGGAACAAAGTAAGTGCTACAGAAATTTCTGCTATTATGTTTTAAGTCATAAAAGAACTGCACAGTAATGGGAATGACAGTACTGGACACTTTAGAGCAGGCCCCCTCAATTATGTCACTGCAGACACCTCACACTGGACAATGCTTTCCTCTGTGTGCTGCCCTGTGCCGTGCGGGACACTGAGAGGCACAAGAGCATCCCCATGCCCAGGGTGACAACCAAAACTGTCTGCAGACACAGTCATGCCTCCCCAAGGGGCACAACCACCCTCGGTTGAGAACCACTGCTTTAGTGGGATGAACGTGGACACAGGAGGGTGTGTTGGGCTTTTTTCCCTTATATAGTTTTTAAGTTACCCTTGTTAAAAGTATGCAGTATTTCTATAACTTAAAAATAAGGAATGCTTCAAAAAAGAAACATTAAAAAATTATTAAAAGAAGTTTATAATCAATGGTTTCTAGACCAGCAGAATAGAAGAGAATATAGAAAATTCAATCAATACAAAAGATGACTGGAAAGAAATAAATAATAACAGCAAAAGGATGATCAGAAAAAAAACATAAGATAGAAGAAATATATTTAAATGCTTGTGATCATAATAAATATAAATGGGTTCAACTCACCTATGAAAGAGAGATATTATCAGATTGGATTAAAAAAACAAAGTCCAGCTACATACAGCTTATAAGAAACACCCTAAAAATAAAACAACACAGAAAAGTTGAATACAAAGGAATACACACAGAGTAGTAACTATTCACCAAAAGAAAGGCAGTGAAACATCATCATAAATCAAAATAGATTTAAGGCAAAAAATTCATACTGAAGACATAATGATGAAAAAACTAAATGTACCTGATAATATAGAACTCAGCAAAACTATTAGAATTATAGGGAAAAAAATCGACAAAACCACAGCTACAGTGAGAGATTTTATTGAATACCATCTGTTTTAGAACCTGATAGATCAAGTTGGCCAAAAATTAGTAAGCACACACACACATATACATATGGACAAACAGAATGACTGCACATTAAATAATGAATAGGGCAAAATGTAAGTAATTGGAACATCTGGGTAACCAGTATGAAAACACTCTTTGTACTAGTCTAGAACTTTTCTGTGTTAGAAATTGTATTAAAGTTGCATGCATGTGGGCTAAGTCACTCAGTCACATCCAACTCTTTGTGACCCCATAGACTGTAGCCCACTAGGCTCCTCTGTCCATGGAATTTCCCAGGCAAGAATACTGGAGTGGGTTGCCACACTCTCCTTCAGGGGATCTTCCTGACCCAGGGATCGAACCCACATCTCTTATGTCTCCTACAGTGGCAGGTGGAGTCTTTACCACTAGTGCCACACAGGAAACCCAAAATAAAGTCACCTCCGCTAGAAAAAAACACCCAAATAAGTAGGTTGAAAGAGTAAGCTCACCATTCAGTGTGAGAAGTTAGAAAAACAACATCAGAGACAATCTAAACAAAGCAGAAAAAGGAAACAATAATATAACAACAAAAGCAGTAAAGCAGAAAGCAAAGAAACAATAGAGAAGTCAAGAAAACCAAAACATGATTCTTTGAAAAAACTAAAATGCCAATTAAAAAAGTAAACACAAACCTCTAGCAGGTCCGTTCAAGGGGAAATCAAAGTACAATTGAAAAATATTAAGAATGACTAGTGAAAGACACAACAGAGATTTGGGAACATAACAATAAGCTGAAAAATCTGTATTAAACAGAAATTTTTAAGAAAAATGTTATTTCCCAACATATATTTCAGAAGACATAGATTATCCAAATAAACCAAAGAACTACTTAACACATTAATTAGTATTCAAAATTCTCCCCCTACAAAAGGCAACAAATCTGAAGGTTTTAACAACTATTACCAAACCTTTAAGGACAATATGTATCTATTTCAAAGAACAGAAAAGGGAAAGCTACTCAACTAATTTTTTTTGCTACTAATGTCAGGACAAAACAGTAAGTAATATATTAGTGAACAGTTTAGCAGTACATTTTAAAAAAATTATATACCAGAGTCAAGTGGTTTATCTAAGAATATGTGGGTGATTCACAACAGAAGATGATCAATGTAATTTATTACATTAATAAGGAAAAAAACCTCTATATAATCATCTTACTAGATGGAGGAAAAAAATTATAGCAATATTTAATACCCATTCCTGATATAAATTCCTAGGAATAGAAAAATATTGTTAACCCATGGAAGGCTACTATCAAAAAATCTACAGCAAATATAATATTTAGTGATGAAACTTTAGAATTATTTGAACTGAAGTCAGAAACAAGATGGAGACCCCTACTATCACTTACATTATCTAACATTGTTGTGGAGGTTTCAACCAATACAGTAACACAAAGAATAATGAGGAGGAGGAAGAGTAATAGAGAAGAAAATTTGAAAATAAAAACAAATACCACACAAAATTATCATTTGCAGAAGATGTGACTGCATGGAAAACTAGACAGGAAATCTATAAAATATGGGAACTATTAGAGTTTATTTGCTAGATAGAAAGACATTATACAACAACCAGCAATAACCAAATTAGGAAAATGTTAATTTAGAAAAGTCACCATTTATAATGGCAGAAAAAATTATGAAGAGCCAAAGAAAAAACTTAAGAAAAGACCCCTACATGTGTATGGTAGGCATTATAGAATGTTATTTAAAGGCATAAATAAAGACCTAAATAAGCTGGGATAGACTATGGAGATGAAAAGGAAGAATGAAATTTTAAAGATGTCCACTGTCTTACTTAAAATTGAGCACAATTTCTATCAAAATCACCATTTCACAGAACAAGATGAAGTGATCCTAAAATTTTTACAAAAGAATAAATGGCCAAGAATAGACACAGTTGGAAGCCAAGAATGAGGTGGACAGCCCTGTCCTACTTACTACTGTAAAAGCTACTACGATTAACACAGAACGATATTGATGCAGAGAGACAGACCAAAGGAACAGAACTGAGATCCCCAGACCAGTCCCACATATGCAGAACAATCTGGTGTGTAACAGAAGCGACATTACAAGGATGAACTCTTTACTTTCTTATGTTGTGACAATCAGTAACCCGTTGGGTGAGAGGGGGAGGAATAAATCTCTACCTCTACTTACTTACAATTAAGTTCCAGATGGAATAAAAAGCTAAACAAAAAAATGCAATAAAACTTTTAAAGGAAAATGTAAGTAAAAAATTCATTTTAAGAATTACAATCCTAAAGAAATCATTAATAGATATGAATGCATTAAAATTTAAAAAGTCTGGATCACTAAAAAGATCAAAACCAAAGTAAACACAAGCTATAGACTGAGAGAAGATACGTGCAACATATTTAATCAAGAAAAGATCAGAACTTAGAATATACAGACTCTTACAAACCTTTTTAAAAGTTCCAAACAACCTAGCAGACGATATGCACGCACAAAGGATGTGAACAAATAATTCACAAGAGAAAGTCAAAGAGCCAATAAATGTATGCAAAGTAGCTGAGCCTCACTAATCACCGGGAAAGTCAACTGTAAACCTCAGTGATGCACCATTTCAATCTGTCAGACTGGTGATAATGAAGAACGCCCAACACTGGCAGGAAACTCAGACACTGCAAGGAGACAAATCAGTACAATTACTGACAATAAAATACGGACGATATCTAATAAAGCCAAAGATGAGCAAACTCCATTCTCCAGTTTTCTATTTCTAGGTATGTTCCCTGGAATAGCATGTTTCATTTTAATGGTCTCAATCCTGCAGGGGCTATAAAGTCAACAGTCTTTAAATAGAATAAAAAATATCAGAGTAGATACACATCCTTGTAAGGCTAGATCTCACTTACTGGAGCTGTGTTAAGGTGTGTATGTGGGTATATAGGTACTGGGTGGTTACAGAAAATACAGGTGATAATATGGGGTTTGAAAGAAACTGCCTTAGAGAAATGTTCCCCTGTGTACACAGGGTGCTCACTGTTGAACTGTTTATAACAGCAAACAACTTGGAAAAGAAATCTGAATCGTGTTCACCAAGAGAATAGATAAGCTGTGGTATATACATACTATAGAAAAATGTGAGCTATCAAAATGAATGAAAGAGACTAAACATATCAGCACAGATATATGTTTAAAAAAAATGATACTAAGGGTAAAAGAAAAAAGTTGAAGAAGGATACATATGGCTTTCTGCCATTTCTATAATGTAAAAAAAACTCGTAAGACTATTATTTATGCAGGCTTATACCTTGTAATATTTGAAATGATACATATTGAGTTCAGGTTTTGTTGTTACTAATGAAAGGGAAGCGTACAAAGGGGGCTCCAATTGTATCTGGAACTTTTTTGTTTCCTAAATATCTAAAACCAACCTGTGGCAATGATTTATCTCCAGCAGCATGCATCTTTAATTTCATCAGTGCTACCTTTGCAGCTGTTTCACTATTTTTTGCACCTTTCCGTCGTTTACTTGCTGTCTCTCCTGTCTTGGAATCTAAGAAGCAAGCATAAGGATATAAGCAAATAGGAACTTGCACATTTTTCAAAGTTTTATTATTACTGACTGTGGCCTTGAAACATACATAAATTACATATACTAGAGATATATGGAGACCACATTCATTTTTTAGATATATTTACAAGAACAATGGAAAAATACCACTGAGTGGATGTAAGTGAGCCACACATTAAAATACTTAAGTTATATGTGCTTTCCGACTTAAATCTATTTAATCCAAAGCAATCACTAGCACTTCTGCAGAGAGGTGTTGCAGAAGATTTTTACTTAATTAATAGAATTTAATTTAAATCACTATTCTTAATATAAAATGAAAATTCAGTTGAGTATGTTGGCAGTGAGACTGGTCAACGTCACAGATATTCTTTCCACATACGTCAGATTATCAGCAGCATTCACAGGACAGCTGACTAGGCTTAAACTTCAGTCTCTTTTTTTTTTGGTCTTTTTTTTAAAAAGGAATCTTTCTCATTTTCTTAAAGGTTTTTTTTTTTTAATCATTTTACCTTTTATTTTTTAATTTAAATTTTACTTATTTATTTTTGGCTGTGCTGGGTTTTCACTGCTGCACGCGGGCTTTCTCTAGTCGTGGCGAGTGAGGCTCCTCCCTAGGTGCGGTGTTCAGGCTTCTCTTGAGGAACATGGACTCCAGGGCACACGGCCTTGGCTGCCCCACAGCATGTGGGATCTTCTCGCATCAGGGATTAAACCCGTGTCCCCTGCGTTGGCAGGTGGATTCTTAATCACTGGACCACCAGGGAAATCCTAACTTAGTCTTGAAGAATGTAAACCACTACTTTAGCCTCATGAATGTAATCTCTAGCCAAGATGGTTAACCAGCTGATACAAGTGGTCCAGCAAAAGAGAATACCTGCCAGATATTTCTATGGAATTTCCAAATCCCCATTTGCTAGGTAAGACTTGTGAAAAATATTGTCACAAGGACGTCCTCAAAATCTACAGCAAGGTATAGCCTTCAGCACGGCTAGCACCTTCCATGACCGGCAAGCCGGCACAAGCAGGGCTCAGGAGCTCATGAGTATACAGCAGTGCGTAAGCATCAGACGCGCTGTCCAGATACTTGCCAATAACGCCTTTGACGGGCTTCTGAGAGGCAGCCATACGAGGCCTAGGGGTTTCCAGTTTTTCACAGCTGTGATCTGACTGATGACGGTGTCTGCGAGCAACAAAAGAGTGACAATGGTTCGCGTGCTTGCATGTGACTTAAACAGACACACAGTTTGAACGGTCATAGGGTCACCTCAGGCAGAAGTTCTTCTCACAGTAAGGACACATGATGGGCACAAGCTCTCTCTCAGCACAGTCCCTGAAAGAGCATGGGTGAGATGTATGGGTGTCTGACTTCGTTCTCTTGTTGAGGACAGTCACCTGAAAAGGGAGAAGGGGGGCATGGCATCATACTTCACATTAAAAGCAAATCAACAAATCTATTCTAGATATCCAGAGCATTTTTGCTTCAACTTATAAAAGCAACCCACACAACCTTGCATAGATTATAATAATTGTGTGCAGAATGATTACTGTGCTGACTGCTCTACATTTTCAAAATTTCCCTACTGTAGTGTGTTTATCTTCTAAGTCAGGTTAAAATGACTACTCTGTCATTCTCCCTAAGTTTAGTCTTCTACTTTGTAACATACTACACAAGGTACCAATAATAGCTCAGTTGGTGAAGAGTCCTCCTGCAATGCAGGAAACCCCAGTTGGATTCCTGGGTCGGGAAAATCCCCTGGAGAAGGGAAAGGCTACCCACTCCAGTATTCTTGGGCTTCCCTGTGGCTCAGCTGGTAAAGAATCTGCCTGCAATGTGGGAGACCTGGGTTTGATCCCTGGGTTGGAAAGATCCCCTGGAGAAGGGAAAGGCTACCCACTCCAGTATCCTGGCCTGGAGAATTCTATGGACTGTATATAGACCACGGGGTCGCAGAGTCAGACATGACTAGAGTGACTTTCACAGACGAGGAAATCAGCCCATCACTCCTCAAATGACAAGTCATATCCACTTTCCACACTGATTTTAGAGGCTTAAATATATGTAAAAGAACACTTAAAATTATATTTTTCCATGATACAGTTAAAAACAGTTTTCACAATGATACAATATTCTGTGTGTGTATGCTCAGCTGGTTCCAGTCTTTGCAACCTCAGGGACTGTGGATTGCCAGGCTCCTGTCCAATGGACTTCCCGGGCAAGATTACTGAAGTAAGTTGCCATTTCCTTCTCCAGAGAATCTTTCTAACCCAGGGATAGAACCCACACCTCTTACATCTTCTGCATTGTCAGGCAGATTCTTTGCCACTAGTGCCACCTACTGTATTACTAGCAAATATTATACCAGAGGAAAAAGATTTTATGAAATTAAAAAAAAAAAAAAAATCCAATCACTTAGGCTATTTTGAGTACTAAGTAACCAGATCTCTAGAATTAAATGAACTCAGTTGACCCTTGAACAACTCAGGACTTAGGGTACAAACTCTCTACACTGTTAAAAATCCAAGTCTGTCTTCACAGGTAGCTTTCCAAATCTGCAGTTCTGTGTCTGCAGGTTCAATGCTTTGTGCAGCAAATATTTAGAGAATAAAAAAGATCCACGTTTGAGGGGACACACACAGTTCCAACCTGTATCACTCAAGGGTCAATGGTAATTGCTTGAAATCCATGAACAAAGGGTATCCTCTATAAAAATAGAGTTACATCTCATTGGAATTAATTTCTTAACCATTTTTCAAAATTTGTTTCAATGGTCTAAAGGTAGAAGATTTTTATTTCACTATTTAATTAATAAGATCTAACTGAGAGACATTCTATGAGACATTCATAGAAATCAAATCATATCACAAGAAAAAAGAAAGCACAGAGATTTATAAGCTACATGAGAAATACTGTTTACTATATGACTCTGAGTATTTCTCTCCAGTTAATCCTGAATAATACCAATATGTTAATTAATTTTTATTTCCCTCAAATCACCAAAACTTCAGAGGGCCAGATTTTGACTGAAGCTCATTTAATCTTAATTTTTATAATTGAGAGAACAGAGGTAAAAATTCTTGGTAAAGTGTCTGGTAAATGGTGGGAAGGAATAAATATTAATTGCAAAATGGGAGGTAAATGCTTCTTTCCAAATGGAGTGAATTCAGTTTAACTTCCTACTGATCTCTGACCCAAAGGAGGTGGAGCAACTTCTCTGATTACAAATTCAAGAAAATTAATTAGGCTCAGCTTTTTCTTTATTTCCTAAGAGGCCTAACCTGGTGCAACACTGCTGTGACGGGTGGCAAACCCCCTGAATTCTGGATTTTCTTTGAAGATCTTTTTGGCTCTACATTAAGCTTCATCATTCAACTTATTCTTTACCAGTCACAAAGATGGTACTTTGGCTTTTATCTAACAGGTCTTTTTAATATCTTGATGTGGGCAGAATTATGGTAGGGACTTTGATGGACTACAAGTTTGCTCCTGATGATCTAAGGCTGATGGAGTCAGCACAATTTATTACCACAGAATCCTAACCCCAGGCACCAGTGAAAACGAACACAACAGTGAAGCAAACTGGAGGCAGCATATGATGAGGATGTCAATTCCATTACATAGTTATAAATACAGAGCCTGAAGCTAAAAGTGGGCTACCCACACAGAACGGTAGTATAAAGGAAAGAAAATTATAAGAATAAAAATTTATAAATACCAAGTAGATGAGTTTATTTTTAAAGCAAATTGAGAAAAAATATAAAGTAACAGCCTCTTATAAATCAATTTAGTATGCCAAATTTTAATCTGCAGTACCCTGGTACTAAATTAAATCAAGACTTCCCTGGTAATACAGTGGACAGCAGTTCGTCTGCCAGTGCAGGGGACATGTGTTCGATCCTTGGTCCAGAAAGATCCCACCTGCCATGGAGCAACTGAAGCTCATGGGCCACAGCTACTGGAGCCTGCACGTTCTGCGGCCCAGGAGTCACAGTTACTGAAGCCCACAAGCCCGAGTCTGAATGCCGCACCCACTGAATCCCGGTGCCTAGAGCCCACACTGCAATTGGAGAGGAGTCCCCGTTCTCTGCAACTAGAGAAGGCCTGTGAGCAGCAATGAAGACACAGCACAACCAAAATAAATAGATAAACAGAATCAAATTCTGAAATACAAACACATTTTCACTAGGAGATACTAACATACCTCAGGACAGCTATGGGACTCTCTGCTCCTGTGTTCAAGGCTTAAATAACAACAAAGAAAAGTATTTATTTAAATGTAATCAAATAATGTACTTAAAGATAACTGCATAAATTTGAGCTATTTAATGGTTAGATCCTTAAGATTAATTACACTCACACCACATTAACAACTCTGCATATAAGAATAAGCTGAAAAGACAAATAAAAGACAGAGCACCTGTAGTCTCAAAAGTTTTAAAACCCAACTACTGTTCAAATTCAATGTGAGTACAAATTATTCACCTCTCAATTTCCTTTTTACTTGGAGTGTTTTAAGGTGCTTGAAAACACAGACTCTTTTGATTCCTTTTATTTCTCAAAAATAACCAATAATAATATGTCAAAGGAGTATTCTAGTTCTGAATGACTTAAAAATATGTACTATTTTTATTTCTTTCTAATAAGTCTTTCTGAACTACTGTCTGAAAAGAACTTATTCTTTCAGTGCTCCATTAAATAAATTAAATGCCTGATACTTGAAAGTTTAATTGAAATTACATCCAAAATTCTTATTTGTTCCCAGGTTTTACACTGCATGTAATGTACGCACAACGTACCCGATTTAAGAAATATATAGGATGGGCTCTTTTCATTGTATTAATAAAAATAAAAACTAATAATCATAATTGGATTTTAAAAATCATATTCTTTATATTATGGATATATTCTCTCCTTGTGATTAATATACATAACTTTTACATAAAAGTCACACACATAACTGTAGAAAGTTTAAAGACTAGCCACATATATGCATAAGTAACCAGAGCCTATGACTAATCTATTTTTTTCTCAGGTGATTATTCTAGTGAATATCAAATATCAATGGCTAAAGTACAAACTATTTTAAATCATTCTGCTTTTTGGAAATAAATCTCATATTGTAAACAATAAAATTACTGCCAAATCCTGCATACAACCTTAACTTACCAAAATACTCCTGAACATCCATCACATACAAATGGAAGAAAATCTAAAATAAAGGGAAAATGTTATATGTTCTGGTCAGTAACTGATTTTGATTTAGGTTTTTTAAGTAAAAAAAATCAAGTACTGAACTGTGGCTACAGGAGGATCTTCCTTTTGAACAATATCCTAGTGCAGCAAGTAGTGGTTAAACAAAAGCCATCACAACCTCAAGTACTCTGAGAGTAACCAGATCATCAGGAGATAAATATTACTTGCAGTGACAAACTAAATCAGAAAAAAAGAAGTCCTGAGAGTGTTTTTCCCAGGTTCACCAGATGCTGCTCCTGAGGACCATATATCACAAAAATTCTGCATTTGAAGTGACAATCTTGGATTTCAATTTTGATTGCACTGCTTACTAATCCAGCAATGCTAGGCAAGTTACTTAAAGGTAGAGTTTTGGGTTTTATATATATATATGTAAAACAGAACTTGTAAAACACACACAAATATATATTTCTTGATACAGTATATGGTATAGTGCATGTATATGTATACAAAATCAAAAATATATTATTAGGTAATATAGATAAAAATAGGATATAAGTACATTGTGTTTGTGTGCATCTGTGTGTGTATGTATATCTATGTGTGTCCATATCTGTGTTATATGCCACACTTACTTCATAGGGTAATTGTAAAAACTAAATGAGATGTGTAAAAGATAAGAATAGTAAGATAAAAGCTGTAATTAACAAGAATAATCACAACATTCACTTGTTTTGAATATACTCAAACTCTGAGAAAAATCCTGGGGTGACTAGGTAGGGACATGTTCAAAGATATTCCAGAAATTAAACAGACGGATTGATCGCGTAAAATTTAGTCCTGAACTGTTCCTTTCCTTGTTGTTAAGGAACAACTAAGTCAGGACTAAGCAACAATTAAGTCAGGAAGTGAAGTTTTGGAAAGCACATTAAAGTATCTGTTTTTAGATGTGGCAATTGACCACAAATCACTGAATATAATCATTCACTCATTCTCCAATCTGTTTTCAATGTACCTCATAATAAATTATAGTACACACACAAGTGAGGCTGGATATATCTAATCACACTGCCTTTACAAAATGAAAACAGGAAGTACTGCACTTAAGAGAAAGCCACTATTACTCTAAAAGATCTCATCCTACAGGGTATCCTAACCTAAAGAAAAAAGAGGTCCTATTTTAACCCAGGGCTTCCCTGTAGGTGTTAGTGGTAAAGAGCCTGCCTGCTAATGCAGGAGATGTAAAAGACGCAAGTTCAATCCCTGGGTCGGGAAGATCCCCTGGAGGAGGGCATGGCAACCCACTCCAGTATTCTTGCCTGGAGAATCCCATGGACTGAGGAAGCTGGAGGGCTACTGTCCACAGGGTCACAAAGAATCAGACATCAGAAGCAGAAAGAAGTGACTTAATACACATGCACAGTAACCCAAAGGGACCCTTGGCGACTTGCTGCTTGTGGGACAAGAGGACTCTAATATAGTTCTTCCCTCACCTGAGAAGTGAGCTTAATGCATTGTCACTATTGTCCTGAAAGCATGATACTGTAAGCATCTGTTCCATACCAAGTATGTAGATATACATTTGTCAAAAAGAGAAGAAAAGTGAAATATACATCACTCTGCAAAACCTGTTTGTCTCTTTAAAATGGGGAAAATGTACATGCTTGCTACTTTTAGAGACTTTGGTGACCAACTAAGTATTAGACACAAACTAAGAGGACCCAGGGGTAAGAGTTAAGATTAAGGTAACTTCCTAACACTTAACACCATTCTTCTATTCATCCAGAAGCTAAATGAAATTTAGTACACTCACAATATCCTCTAAATCTTAACTGCTCTCCACTAGAGTCTGCGAGAAATCTGAACTCCAAAAGAACCACACCCTGGCTTCATTTCAGTGCTTACACTTTAAGAGACACCTGAAGTTGTAAAAGATTAACTATGTAACAGATGGTAGACATCATGGACTTGATAATCGGGTATACCAGAATGACACAACTTATGGTCAAAACCCAACTGGCTAAGCTTCCCTATGAGTCTGCAAGGAAACATCGGTCCTTGCCTGCTGAAGGATGGCGGAGGACGACAGTCAGTGGTGAAAGCTACAAATCGGAGTCCTGTAAGTAACAAGAACCTCGTAGGGATTGTGCCCTTTAGCCCATCGTCCACAACAGGTCATCACTGACCAACTGGGAGCACTCCCACTAATTCTGAGCTAGACCCCAGAGCCCTTCTCAACAGTGACAGGGTACCTGCTACCAAAGACTGAAGCTGCAATGGGAGAGAAAACTTGTTTGGCCCCGGGATGTGTAACAGCACGAGCCAGATGTGACAGCACCCATTTGGAGTGCAAGCCAGGTACCAGAGACAGATGGCATTCGGTGTTGCTCTCGGCTTCAGGACTTGCCTGCTGCAGTTCCTAAGGCCTGTGCCACACGCTCACCGGCCGTGAGCGTGGCCTCCGTGTGTCACAAGGTCTCTCGGTTCAGCAGAGACAGAACATCACCTGACTAAAGCTCTAAGACGCAGCGAACTACCCTGAGAGCTTTTCTGTGGAAACGGCCATATCTTAGACCCTTACGTGGGCCAGAAGCAAAGCAGGTGCTCAGCAAGTGTTTACTGAGTCAGAGACAGAACCAAAGAAGACAGAGCTGAGAGAGCAGAGACGCTCCCAAGGCAAGGCTCGGGGCCTTCTCACTGGAAGTCCGTCCCCTGAGTAGCCAACAAAAACGAGGCTCAAAGCTGACCCAGCCCATCCTTCCCTGACAGACAACGGAAGGGCTGCGGACGAGGATCCAGGTCGCCGCGGCGGGCCGGGGGACTCTCCCGGTTCCCACACCGAAACGCGCTCCATCCCGGGCTCGTCAGACAGAGGCGGGCGTGCGCGGCTCCTCGGCGAGGCGGCCTCGGAAACCGGAGCGGGCGCTGCCGGCTGTGCTTCCAGGAGTCGCGCGGGTCCCTCAGGAGGACAAGCAGCTCCCAGGCTCCAGGGCCCCCAGAAGGGCTCCGACCCGGCCAACTGAGGGGCCCGTGGGACACGCCCTGCCCTCCTCAGCCTCCGCCCCGCGCCGTCGCCCTCACGTCCCGCCGCCCCGGAGGCAGAGCGCGGCCAGGACCCCCGAGGCTGGGGCTGGGGCGCCGCATCACCTAGCCGCCGGCAGCGTTCCACCTGGCAGTGCCGCCCGATGTTCAGCTCCGCCATCTCCGCGCGCGCGAGAGGTGGGCCGAGAGGCGGGGCGAGGGAGTGAGGCGCCGCGCCCGCTGGGAATGGGCGGGGCGGGGCGGGGCATGAGGTGGGGCGTGGAAATGGGCGTGGCGGTGGGGAACTGGTGCAGAGGGGGCGGGGCCAGAGGGCGCGCGGCGCCCACTGGGAACGGGCGGGGAGCGGGCGGGGCCTGCAGGTGGGGCGGGGGCGGGGCGAGGGGCTGGCGGGGCGAGGGGCGGGGCAAGGCGGCGCGCGGCGGCCGCTGGGAGCGGGCGGGGAGGGGGCAGGGCCTACCGGTGGGGGTGTGCTCCTTGCCGAGAGGGACGGGCCGGTCCGAGCGTCCGGAGCCAGAGGAAGGGTTGTTGACTTGTTGGGCGTCTCTGTGGGTGGAAGTCCTGTCGCCCAGTCCTTAGAAAAAATACACAGTTTTCTGGGAGACTGCGTGCTTGTGTGCCCTCTGTGTTTATCTTCCTTCTGCGAAATTGGAGTTGCGGAAGGCTTCCTCAGGAGTGTGTGTGTGTGTGTGTGTGTGTGGTTCAACTCCTGACTCATCCTACACCAGTGTCACTTGATGATATAAGTACCCCTTGCAAGAGAATCAGGGTTTTTTAAAATGTAGACGTTTGTTTGTTTAACGTTCTGGCAGGCAAAAAGTCTCTAGCTCTTGAAGTGCTGAGGGGCCGCCTAGGGCCACTCCGTTGCGAGAGCACAGACTCATTTAACACACATCGTGAAGAAAGCTTGTGGTCATTCCCTGGGGAGGTAGGAAGCTTCATGTGCTTGATGAGTCACTCCAAATGTACTGAGAAAAGACAGGCTCTTCTAGGTGGGGTTAAATGGATGCCATGCCACTGACATGACGCCACACGACTCAGAGAGGATGAATGACAAAGCTGTGCTAAGGACAAGAACTGTAAAAGTATCCAATGCGTCATATATAACTTTGAATATTTCCCAACAAATATTCATTGAGGAAGGGGGAGTGTGGATTGGGAAACAGGTATCCTTACTTCAAGATTTGCTCTTCAAAAATCTGTTTAAAATTTTCATCTCAGGCTTGTTTGGGTCTGGAGAAAAACTAGATTTTAGAGCTGGAAGTAGCAGAAGATATCTAGCTATCCCAGCTTTTTTTTGAAGATAGATAAGCAGGTTCAGAGAAATTCTTTTTGTGTGTGAATTTTTTTAAAATTTTAATTGGAGGCTAATTACTTTACAATATTCTGGTGGTTTTTGCCATACATTCGCATGAGTCAGCCATGGGTGTACACGTGTTCCCCATCTTGAATCCCCCGCCCTCCTCCCTCCCCATCCCATCCCTCAGGGTCGTCCCAGTGCACCAGCCCTGAGCACCCTGTATCATGCATCTCAGGTTCAGAGAAATTAAATGATTTGCCCGAGTTAGTGGAAGAGTTTGGACTAAAATCCAAGTGTCAACAGCCTCCGGTATTTTGAAGAACCAGTGGCTTGGAGGAGATTGGTGATTTAGTCGCTAAGTTGTGTCTGGCTCTTTCAACCCCATTAACTGTAACCTACCAGGCTCCTCTGTCCACGGTATTTCCCAGGCAAAAAGATTGGAGTGGGTTGCCGTTTCTTTCTCCAGGGGATCTTCCCGATACAGGAATCAAAGCCCCATCTCCTGCATTGCAGGCGAATTCTTCACCCACTGAGCCACAGGGAATCCCAGCTTGGGGGAAGTGATAAATTGGGAGACTGAGATGACATGCTCATTACTATATATAAAGGAGATAACTAGTCAGAACCTACTGAACAGCACAGGGAACTTTACGCAATACTCTTTAATGGCCTATATGGGAAAAGAACCTAAAAAAAAGAGTGGATATATGTATAACTGATTCACTTTGCTGCATTCAGTTCAGGTCAGTCTCTGTCATGGCTGACTCTTTGTGACCCCATGAACCACAGCACGCCAGGCCTCCCTGTCCATCATCAACTCCCAGAGTTTACTCAAACTCATGTCCATTGTGTCAGTGATGCCATCCAGCCATCTCATCCTCTGTCGTCCCCTTCTCCTCCTGCCCCCAATCCCTCCCAGCATCAGGATCTTTTCCAATAAGTCAACTCTTCGCATGAGGTGGCCAAAGTACTGGAGTTTCAGCTTTAGCATCAGTCCCTCCAATGAACACTCAGGACTGATCTCCTTTAGGATGGACTGGTTGGATCTTCTTGCAGTCCAAGGGACTCTCAAGAGTCTTCTCCAACACCACAGTTCAAAAGCATCAATTCTTCAGCACTCAGCTTTCTTTATAGCCCAACTCTCACATCCGTACATGACTTTTGAAAAAAACCATAGCCTTGACTAGACAGACCTTTGTTGGCAAAGTAATGTCTCTGCTTTTAAATATGCTGTCTAGGTTGGTCATAACTTTCCTTCCAAGGAGCAGCGTTTTTTAATTTCATGGCTGCAGTCACCATCTGCAGTGATTTTGGAGCCCAGAAAAATAAAGTCAGCTACTGTTTCCCCATCTATTTGCCATGAAGTGATGGGACCAGATACCATGATCTTAGTTTTCTGAATGTTGAGCTTTAAGCCAACTTTTTCACTCTCTTCTTTCACTTTCATCAAGAGGCTCTTTAGTTCTTCTTTATTTTCTGCCATAGGATGGTGTCATCTGCATAGCTGAGGTTATTGATATTTCTCCTGGCAGTCTTGATTCCAGCTTGTCCTTCCTCCAGCCCAGCGTTTCTCATAATGTACTCTGCATATAAGTTAAATAAGCAGGGTGACAATATACAGCCTTGAAGTACTCCTTTTCCTATTTGGAACCAGTCTGCTGTTCCATGTCCAGTTCTAACTGTTGCTTCCTGACCTGCATATAGGTTTCTCAAAAGGCAGGTCAGGTGGTCTGGTATTCCCATCTCTTTCAGAATTTTCCACAGTTTATTGTGATCCACACAGTCAAAGGCTTTGGCACAGTCAATAAAGCAGAAATAGATGTTTTTCTGGAACTCTCTTGCTTTTTCAATGATCCAGCGGACGTTGGCAATTTGATCTCTGGTTCCTCTGCCTTTTCTATAACCAGCTTGAACATAGCAGAAGGTAAAACAATATTGTAAATCAACTATACTCCAATAAAAAAATAAATTAAAAATGAAAAACCAGTGGCTTATTTAGATTTTTGTATGTTTCTTTATCTGATAGCATTAACCAAGGGCAGATTTTCTAGAAGTTTACTCTTAAATGTTCCAGATAGGTGGCAAATATTTATCAGTGCAATAAAAATGGAAATGTGTTTGTTCTTTCAGTTCTCTAGTGTGGGAGTATAGGAAGCATTAGATGGTTCCACAAGCTGGAGAACATTTATACCAAAGAAGTTCTCACACTGTTGTGAAAGTTCTAGGACCCACCACAGATTTCCCAACCTGGGGATCCAGCAAAGGAACTGAGAACCTCCAGGGAATTTGACTTTGAAGGCCAGTGGGATTTGTTACAGAACTTTCACAGGACTGGGGAAGCAGACTCTTGGAGGGCACAAACAAAACCTTGTGACCTCACAGGAGACTGAGCCGGACTTGCTGTGAGTGTCCAGGAGCCTCTGGCAGAGGCGTGGGTCAGTGGTGGCCTGCTGTGGGGTCAGGGCACCGAGTGCAACAGTCCTGGCATAAGTCCTTTGGAAGGAGCTCGCCATTAGGTGGTGAGGATAGCCAAGGTCACAGTTGCTAACTCTTCCATCCCCATTTAGTCTCTTTGCTGATTTCTCCTCTTGTTGCTGTTTAGCTGCTAAGTCGTGTCCTACTCTTTTGAGTCCCCGTGGACTGCAGCCTGCCAGGCTCCTCTGTCCATGAGATTTCCCAGGCAAGAATACCGGAGTGGGTAGCCATTCCTTTCTCCAGAGGATCTTCCCGACCCAGGGATGGAACCTACATCTCCTGCGTCCCCTGCACAGGCAGGTGGGTTCTTTATCACAGAGCCACCTGGGAAAGATTTTTGTAAGTGGTACTCAAACATGCCCATTTCCCCGTCATTTTGTGCTTGGAGCATTTATCAATTTACATCCTCATACTAGTGAAACTCCCATGGTTCCAGTGACTTTCACAACCATATTCTCTACCTTGAGAACTTCCTCCCAAACTGGAGGTTTCTCCTTCCTTATTTCTAAGTCTAAAATGGAACGCTTTCTTACCATAGCATCTGCTCCCTAACAGAGGCACTCTGCCGCGTGAGAAGCCTTGGATCCACTCTCCACCTCTCCTTTCTCACTTCTCTCATAAAAGTAGCAGTTAAGCACTCTCAATTATTTCTCAAAAATGTCTCTCAAACCTGTACTTTTCCATTTCTTGAGTTATTTCCTCCCCCAAAACTCACTTCCTTGCCTAAGATATTCCATTGGCTCTCCATTATTCACAAGATTTTTTAGCTTAGTAAGAACAAACTTTATCGGTAAAGCTTTTCACAATTTCCAGCCTCAGTAACAACCACCTCCTCTCAGGTGCCCTATTCCCCAGTCATTTTCATAATATACCTCCTGGCTCTTTCAGATGTTCATAGTTTTACACATGCCTTTCCTTTGCCCTTAAAGGTCCTCTATACCAGAGTTTTCTAAACCTTCTTGAGAGTAAGAATCAGTTAAGTGCTTGTCAATAAATACAGCCACTCACACCTTTTCTGGGGTCATGTTTACAGGGTCTAGGATGGGTCCTGGGAAGTTATGTTTTTAACAAGTGCCCTCACTGTCATTCTTATCATTGGACCAGTTTAGCAAACAGGTTTCACTCTTACTCCACCTTCAGAGTGTAATGCTTTTAACCTTTCACCTGGGAAAGACTTCTGAATGCACAGGCAAAAATTCAGTCCTCCAGGACATTAGCCATCTGCTATAGTAAGTGGGACTTGAAACATATCTTCCTTACTAACACTAACCAGGCAAAATTATGATTTACCTGGCCAAAAACAAACAAACAAACAAACTTCTGTGGCTTCTATTAGCTATTAAATAAAATCTGCACTTAAGTCGATTTAGCAAGTCCTTTGAGGATCT